AAATAACATCTCTGGAATATTCAGACTTTTATCCTGACACAAACTGATACACAAAAATGTGTTATGAGCTCAGCTATAGAATGTAAAGCAGGTTTCAATGTTTATTACCTTTTAGAAAGCAGTTTGTCTCATCCTATAAACCTTCCTTTATCCTAGAATGCTGTGTAATTAAAATTCCACTGTAGATAATGCTACTAAAATAAAGGATTTTATATAACTGGGTTTTCTCCACATTTTAACAAATGGCTCTAAGGTAATTTTAAATCTTATAAAAAATTCTTTAAATTTTAAAACTTCTATAATTAAGAGTCACCTAGTAAATTCTCTTCATTTTGCAGAAGAGGAATGTAAAGCTTAGGAAGTTAAATGACTTCCTCAGGATGAGAATTATGCTAAGTACTGGGGATAAAAAGATACATGTCATACCTATCCATAGTCTAATTAAAGTGAAGTGCAATACTGCTATGATGGGGCAGGACCTTTTCCACAAATGTAAGAATGCTGACTCAAGTACATACAAGTCAGTCCTGCTAGGAAAAATTAGAAGTATTGGTTAGCAAGAAGAAAAAAAAAAAAAGGCCAGGAAAAGCAGACAGCACAGCAACTATAAAAGGGAAGAAAATTAAAAGAAAGTAAACCAGGGGTTCACAGTTTCATTGTTATATCTATTAGCAGGAATAATTCCGAGATGCTATTAAAGAAAGAATATAAGAATAAAGTTAGAAACGCAATGGACAGCTGGGTGTGGTATCAGACAAAGAGCTTTTTCATGTATATATGTATATGAGTACATATGTAAACACATACAGCTCATGAACCTATTGACCTTCAGACCTCTAGGCAGACAGGCAGACAAATATCATTATCTCCTTAGTATGCAAATTATCTGTTTAAAGCAACAAGAATTTTACAGTCAAAACTGAAGTTTCTCAAGCGCAAGCAAGGAACACTAGAAGAAAAATTAAATGTTCAATATGCATATTGCTAGTCAAAAGAACATTAAATGCCTTTGTCTATTTAGTGTGCTTTGTTACTGATTTAATGAATCTTTATTGACTTAATGACTATTTAAAAAAAAAAATGTATACATTTTCATAAGTTCATGACCTCAGTATCTTCCACCCTGCCTTGAGCAACTTTTCTATCAGCACTGAACTCAGGGCTAGCAGCAGAGATGAACATTGCAAAGCACCTGCAGTTCTGGAACTTAAGAAGAATAAGTACAATAAATAAGCACATGTATTTAAGAACTGTGCGTGTGTGTATTTAACAGGCAGGAGAAAGTGATAGAAAGTAACCATAAAGAGTGGTCAATGAAGGCCTCTGTGCAGAGATAGTGACCTAAATAAAGTGAGGAAAACCTGTAAAGAGAGGATATTGTGAAGAACGTAGCTACACACAGATGTGGAGGAAGAGCATTCCAGACAGAATATACAGCAAGCACAAAGGCCCTGAGATGAGACTGACCTTGTATGTTCAAAGAACAACTAAGAAGCCAAGTGGCTACAGCAAGGCAGACAGTGATCAAGATGAGATCAGGGAGTTACAAGCAGGGGCTTGATCATTTAGGGCTTGGTAAACCAGGGTTATTCTGAGTGTGATGGAGAGCTACTGGAGAGGGGAGTGAGGTGAATTAATAATATTGTTAAAAGTTCATTCCAGCTGTTGTCTGCAGAACTCATTGTAGAAGGGCCAGAAGAGAAGCAGAAACACAAGCTGGAAGCTGCTGTAGAAGCCTAAACAAGAGGCAGGTCCCTGGGTGGTGCAAATGGTTTGCGCTCAACTATTAACCTAAAGATTGGTGCTTCAAACCCATCCAGCAGCACTGCGGAAGAAAAGACCTGGCAATCTGCTTCCATAAAGATGACAGCCAAGAAAACCCTATGGAGCAGCCCTATTCTGTAACGCACTGGGCCATCAACTCGACAGCAACAGGTTTAAATGAGAGGTGATAGTGGTTGAGACTGGGAAGCGGCAGAGAATTATTGATAGTTGGATTTGTAGTATATTTTGCTAACATGTTGTATATGGAGTATATGGAAAAGAGAAGAGAGAAAAAAAAGTATGGATAAAGGTGGTAAGTTACACAATAACTTTCCTACCAAAAGATTTTCCAAATTACAGCCTTTGTGGTTGGTGTGCTCGTTGTTCACGGGCTCTCAGCTCCACACTAACCCTTCCACAGTTTCCTCTTCTATACCGCCCGGGGCTAGAAGCCTGCAAAGTATATTTTCCAGATACCCTTGCAAGCTGAGAAGTTCAGTCAGCCAAGGGGAAGCGATATCAGATTAGAAGGTAGGAGAACAGAAGCCTTTTTTTCCCCGTTTCTGTTCTGATGAGCAACTGTAAGCTACTCCAACCTCCAGCAGCGTCGGTGGCCCATCCAGCAGTGTCAGTGAGACTTCGGGCTCCCTGGTAACTGCATCAGCGACAAGAAGGCAAGCTCCTGGCCCCCTGCCACGTAACAACGGCAGCATCCTCAACATGCAGCACGTGGGGGCCCTGGGCAGCACTGCTTTCCACTTTGGTCCTCCAGCCTAGGGACAACGGTAACTTCTCACACTTACTGAGCTCTGGGTACCATCGCCTTTGCCTTTTTACTCCTTCAACCCTTCAACACTTTGTAACAAATTCCCTTTTTAAAACCTTTCTGCTTGAAATATCTTAAGTTGTTTTTGTTTTCCTGAATGGATGGCAACCAATACAGTTAAGGAAGGAATAGCACTCTCCAGGTATCTTGCTCCTTAGATACAGGCATAGCAAATACTATTATTCCTTTTTACAGACCAGTAAACTAAAAAAAAAAAAAGTGATTAAATGAACTGACCAAAATTACACAGCTAACTCAATCTAAACTATCTAAATCCTGTGTTCTTTTCACAATGTTTAAGTCAAGAAATACTGACTGCTTTCAATTTTAGAAAAGAAAAAACTCATCTTTTTTTTTAACATTTTATTGTGGTTTAGGTGAAAGTTTACAGAGCAAATTAGTTTCCCATTCAACAATTTATACACATTTTGTTTCACGACATTGGTTGCAATCCCCTCAATGTGTCAGCACTCTCTCCCTCCTTGGGTTCCCGCTTCCATTTGCCCAGCCTTCCTGCCCCTTCCTGTCCTCTGTATTTTGCTTTTGGGCAAATGCTGCCCTTTTGGTCTCGTATGATTGATTGTTCTGAGCTGCATATTCCTCATGGGTGTTATTGTTCACTTTATAGGCCTTACTATTGTTTGGCTGAAAAGTGATCCCCGGGAGCAGGTTCAGTTCCAAGTTTGAAGGGTGTCTAAGAGACACAGTCTCTCAGGGGTTCTACCAGTCTCTATAAGACCAGTAAGTCTGGTCTTTTTTATGCATTTGCATTTTGTTCTATATTTTTCTTCCACTCTGTCCAGTCCCTTCTATTGTATCCCGGTCAGAGTGGTCAGTAGTGGTAGGCAGGCACCATACAGTTCTCCTGGTTTCAGGCTAGTGCAGTCTGTGGTTCACGTAGTCCATTAGTCCTTTGGATTAATTACATCCTTGAGTCTTTGGTTTAAAAAACTCACTGGAGTCTGCACAGGTTTCAGCAAACTAGGTGCACATTTAGAGCATTAGCACTAAAAAGACTACTCTCTATCCCCTTGAAACAAACTATACGAACATAAATAAATATATGTATATATACACCATATATTTCACTTCAAACAAAATTGACTTTTGAAAAGTGTTTTATAAATTAGTCCAAGAGAGTAATTTATAAAACACTTTGAATTAAGATTTCTTGACAAGAAAACTTCCTACGTACATATAAATATTTTATATACCAAAATTTTATCTTTACCATAACTTTTCACATATAAAACTACAGCCAAAGCAAACTGTTCTCATATGATGCAATAATAAGAAACTTACTGGTTTAAAGAAAATATTAGAGACAGAAAAATTTCAAAAGATAATATATCATGAAGAAAACATTTAACTGACAATGTTCATTTAAAACCAATAACTTTTATCAAATAAAATTTTAATTCTCACTATATTCCATTTTTTTAATGAAGTTTAAATCCAGGAGGTAGGTCATGGGTCATTTGATTTAAAGAAAAATCAAATATACTATATACTGGCAACTAAATTTACTAGAAGGTGAAAAAAGCACTAATAAATTGTCATTAAAAACAAATTGGTGTGGCTAAAATTTGAACTAAACTTGAATTAAGTATCATCAGGTAACTTCACCCTTTATATGACCAAAAACAAATGATAATAAGAAAATCAAATGAACTAAGAACTAGAAATTAGCAAACTTAACAAAGAATATAAGTATTGACATTCTTATTATAGACAGCTACTAATAAATTTTGAAGCACTGAATAAATATATGACAGCCATACCAATTTAGCTTTTTAAAAAATATGTATGAAGCATATAGCTTATATGCATATATTTTCAGTAAACTTTTAACAAAACTTATAAAGTATTATTTGACATTCCAAAAGCAGTACATATCCCTCATTCTTGAAGGATAAATGTCCTGTAATCTAAATAGCTCAAAGAATTCAGCAGTCTTTAATATTGGCAGTTTATTGAAGGATAAATGTCCTGTAATCTAAATAGCTCAAAGAATTCAGCAGTCTTTAATATTGGCAGTTTATTAGAGAAAAGGGATATATTTGTAAATATTGTACAAATACTGTATAGTACTTATAAATAGCTAAATTTAGAATAATGACTTTTATTCCTATATTCTTAAAATGTTTAAAAACTTACAAAGCCACACTCAAAGAAAAAAAATTAACTTTTATGGGTGTGCACTTCCTTATTTAGGTCATTGTATAAGAACTAGAAATAAAAAGTATACACTTCTATCTTAATTTCCCTCTCTCAAATGCACACACACACACACAAACACACATGTGTGGGTGCACATTTTAGATTTACCCAAAATCAGTGAATTCAAACTTAATTCATTACATAAAATACTGTAAAGCGGTCATAATAACACCCACTTACTGACACTTACTGTGTGAAAATTGATCATTTCTTGAAGACTGTCAGAAAACTTGGTCAAACTGGTCTACGAGAAAGAAACCAAAAGAAAACCCAAGTTATTAACAGCTACTTAAATAGCCCACAAAAATGTTACTTCAGCATTTCTGACAGAAAGAGCAAGTTACACTGTAAATAATAACATTTATTTCCAATGACAATCTCACTACCTCATGGGCATGCTCTGTAGAGAGGTCAAGTCTTTACATGTAATATGTAAAACCCCAGAAAAGTCGGAGACTTTATATTGTCCTATCAATAGTATTATGCTAACGAGTAAGAATGGCATATATAAACATAAAGGGAAATTGTTAGAGTGTATCAAGACTATGCCCATTTACGCAGCCATGATTAAATCATTATCAAAACTTATCCATTTTTTTACCAGTTCTTATTCCTCATAAAAGAAACATCGTAACAGAACACAGTACAGCAAAGGATCTAAGCTAACCCGGCATAACTGGCTGACCAGAACTTTCCCATACAGCCCCCACAGAGTTAGATACAATTCCTAGGTTAATGCTCTCTACTTGCCCCAATAAGCAGCTAGTAGGCATGATCCTGCTCTCCCTGCTCATGTAGATGCTTCAGCTCACCTAGCAGCAAGTAAGCTTAGTAAAATGAATGAAGCAATAGGAACCTGGTTTAGGAGTGATGCTGGATATTCACAATGCAAATCAATCATCAACTTCTAACAACGTTAAAAAACAGGATTATATTCACAATGGAGTACTACGTAATGATAAAGACCAGTGATGAATCTGCAAGGCATCATACAACATGGATGAATCTGGAGGGCATTATGCTGAGTGAAATAAGTCAATCACAAAAGGACAAATACTGTATGAGACCACTACTATAAACACTCATGAAAAAGTTTACACACAAAAAGAAACAACCTTTGATGGTTACGAGGGAGGGGAGGGGTGGGGATGGGAAAACACTAAGTGGTAACTTCAGTGAAGGGTAAGACAGTACACAAGACTGGGGAAGCCAGCACAACTTGTCCAAGGCAAGGTCCTGCAAGTGCCACAGACATATCCGAACTCCCTGAGGGACCGAATTACTGGGCTGAGGGACCACAGTCTGAGGGAACATCTAGCTCAACTGGCATAACATAGTTTATAAAGAAAATCTTCTACACTCTGCTTTGGTAAGTAGCGTCTCAGGTCTTAAAAGCCTATGAGCGGCCACTGATCTCACCCTGTCAGGAGCAAGGGAGAATGAAGAAAACTAAAGACATAAGGGAAAGATCAGTACAAAAGACTAATGGGCCACAACTACCACAGCCTCCACTAGACTGAGTCCAGTACAATAGATGGTGCCCGGCTATCACCACTGACTGCTCTGACAGGGATCACAACAGAGGGCCCTGGACAGAGCTAGAGAAAAACATAGAACAAAATTCTCACTCACAAAAAAAGATCAGACTTACTGGCCTGACAGAGACTGGAGAAACCTTGAGAGTATGGCCCCCGGACACCCTTTTAGCTCAGTAATGAAGTCATTCCTAAGGTTCACCCTTCAGCCAAATATTAGACAGGCCCATAAACAAAATGTGACTAAAGGGGCACACTAGCCCACGGGCAAGGACTAGAAGGCAGGAAGGGACAGGAAAGCTGGTAATAGGGAACCCAAGGTTGAGAAGGGAGAGTGTTGACATGTCGTAGGGTTGTTAACCAATGTCATAAAACACTATCTGTATTGTTTAGTGAGAAGCTAGTTTGTTCATCTAAAGTTCAATTTAAAAAAAAAAAAAAGGATTATACAAGGTAGCATGAAGAGATAATATCTGTTCTGCTTCTAAGTTTTTAGGTCACTATGTTAGAACTGGAAATAAAAAGTAGATTAGTAAGGTAATTCTTTAACATCGTTTTGTAGTTATTTTAAGCTGTAATTTTAATAATACTAACCTCAACAACAGCATCATTACTAGAATACTGTGCCAGGTCTCTAATCCCATTCATGAACTGTTTATTTGCAACACAAAAGGCTTTCCCGCTATCGATCATTGCGATACAAAGCTTCACAAGCTGAAAAAGAAAAAAAAATTGTATCAGGTTGAAAGCAATTTTACAAATGATTTGGCTGAACAAGTGTTGACAGTAACCACATGAGTTAACACAGTTAAGATAAAGTATGGTCATCAATAAACTCAAAATAGACTAAATAAAAATTGTTCTTTTTTCCTTGGGCCTATGAAGCAAATTCACAGGAGAACTGTACCAAAGTTCACAGAGTAGAACCCAGAGGCTGTCTGATAATAAAAAATAAACAAATCACTTTGTCAATTCAATTCAACCCCATAAATTAACCCTCTAAATATTTATTAAGCACAACCTAAAAGGAAGAAAATGGTATTTAGGGCAGGGCAAGCAGTATGATGAAAGGTTTTTTTAAACGGTGTGGTATGTTGGTGGAAAGGTGAATTAACGGGTGCAAGTGCATCCATCACGCTGGTCACTTCAGCATCAGTCTGTCCAAGCAGATGTCAGAACTGAGTCAAAAAACAATCTCTCCAAGGCGCTGTGCTGAGCCTTCACGGTGCCTTCCCCTTTCTCTCTTTCTTCTCTTCTCTCTTTCCTTCTTTTTTTACTTTCTTTCTCTTTTTCTCTTCCTTCCTCCCTTTTAGACACACAACATTTTCTTCAAACAAAGTCTTCAGTGAAGGTCATATATATATATATATAACCCAGGTAACCATGGAGCTACTCTAAACAAAGGCGGGGAGGGCATGGGGAGCGGTGGGGCGAAGGACACCAAAAAGAGGACAAAGAGGCCAGAGAAACTGTAGAAAACCCCCAAGGACCTCAGAGTATAATTTAAAGCTGGTGCTCTAGGGCCTAATCTCCGCTCTCAAAGAGCTTCTGTTCTAACCAGCGGACAAGCAGATAAATCCTACGCAGCACAAACACAACAGCTAGGACAAACCACGTGTACAGGCACAAAAGAAGAACCTAAACAGGCTTCCTGGGAGTCAGGGGAGGAGTCCCAGAAAAGGAACACTTGAGAGAAGACCTGAAGACCAACAGCAATTGGCCAATCAGAGGAGGGTAATGGAAGCTACTACTCTAGGAAGAAGATGTGCTAAGGCCCCAGAAATTTAAAAGGGCAGGGCAAACCTTAGGCACTAAGTGCTTAGTAGAGTGTGAAAATGTGGCGGGCATTAAAAAGGTGATGCTGAAAATGTATACAAGGGCCAGATTTAGGGAAAAATTAAAACAAAAAAAAAAAACAAAACAAAAAAACCTTGTATTTAATGCTAGGGGCCCTGGTGGCACAGTGGTAAAGTGTTTGGCTGCAAACCAAAAGGTCAGCAGTTTGAATGCACCAGCTGCTCCTTGGAAACCTGATGGAGCAGTCCCACCCTGTCCTCTAGGGTGGCAATGAGTTGGAATCAACTCGACAGCAACGGGGTTTATGTAATGCAAAGCTGTTCAAATTTTATGTGAAAGGAAATGGGAAGCAATTAAAGACATTAATTGGGTGAGTTGATCAGAGTTCCATTTTAGAATAATCTAAAAGGGGAAAAAATAAAGACAAGAAAATAGAAAAAATAAAGACAAGGAAGTAGCTTGAATTAAATCAGTAAGCAGGGCGAGAAGAGGAGAGACAAATGCAAGAATTGTTCAAGTACTCCTGCACAGTTAAGCAGACTGTGCTCTGCCAAGCGGAAGAGTAGGTGCTGAAATCCAGCCTGCACACTGCTTGCCAAGCTACGCATGAGCCCTGACACAGGCTGCATCTGCTATAAGATGTTAATTTGCACAAAGACACCACACTGGCTAGCATAGCAGAGACTCTTGTTTTAACCATGTTGGGGCCTGAGCTAGATGGGCCTATGATAAGCCAAGTGGAAAGTCTATCAAACACAAATGAAAACAGACGTTTGAAGCTCTGCACAGAGGAGTGGGCTGTAGATAGTTATGGAGTCATCAGCAAATACACAAAGTGTCTGTGATATATTCTAGAAAGAAAGCAAAGCACGAACATATAAGAAGACTCCCCAGCTGTGGGGGCCATGGTCTTGGGGAACATCTAGCTCAACTGGCATAACATAGTTTATAAAGAAAACGTTCTACACTCTACCTTGGTGAGTAGTGTCTGGGGTCTTAAAAGCTTGTGAACAGCCGTCTAAGATACTTCACTAGGAGCAAGGGAGAATGAATAAAATTAAAGACACAATGGAAACATTAGTCCAAAGGACTAATGGACCACAACTACCACAGCCTCCACTAGACTGAGTCCAGTACAACTAGATGGTGCACGGCTATCACCACTGACTGCTCTGACAGGGATCACAATAGAGGGTCCCGGACAGAGCTGAAGAAAAACGTAGAACGAAATTCTAACTCACAAAAAAAGATCAGACTTACTGGCCTGACAAAGACTGGAGAAACCTCAAGAGTATGGCCCCTGGACACCCTTTTAGCTCAGTAATGAAGTTATTCCTGAGGTTCACCCTTCAGCCAAAGATTAGACAGGCCAATAAAACAAAATGAGACTAAAGGGGCACACCAGCCCAGGAGCAAGGATTAGAAGGCAGGAGGGGACAGGAAAGTTGGTAATAGGGAACCCAAGGACAAAAAGGGAGAGTATTGACATGTTGTAGAGTTGGTAACCAATGTCACAAAACAGTATGTGTACTAATTGTTTAGTGAGAAGCTAGTTTGTTCTGTAAACCTTCATCTAAAGTACAATAATTTAAAAAAAAAAAAAGAAGACTCTCCAAATGAGACTAAAGAGGAACAGGGAAAGGTAGGAGGAAAACCAAGAAAATGATTTCACCAAAGTCCATAAAGAACAAAGTGCCAAAAGATGGATGAAAATGGATGGTTGAAAATCCACAAAGGTCAAATTTTTAAAAGATAAAAAAAATGTCTAATGGATTTTATGACCATGAGTCACCAGTAATCCTGGCAAGAATAGTTTTAAGGAAAATTGATTGTGGGGGAAGGGGGCAGCAGCCAGATTGCAGTGAGCTATGCATAACAGATAAAGAAGATATGATCATAGGTCAACGTCTCCCAACACATATTCTACAGAATATCCTGCAGGAATATTCTGTACCAAAATAAAGATTCTGTGATCAAATAAATCTGGGAAACTCCAGGTTTTTTAAAGTTAAATAGGCTTTTTTTTTTTTTTTATTGTACTTCAGGTGAAGTACAGAACAAGTAGTTTCTCATGAAACAGTAGTACACATATTGTTTTATGACATTGGTTAACAACCCCACAACATGTCAACCCTCTAACTTCTCAACTTTTTTTTTTTTTTGGTGAAAATACACATAGCCAAAGATACACCATTTACAAAAATTACTACATGCACAGTTCAGTGACACTGACTACGCTCTTCCAATTGTCCTGCTATTGTCACTTAAAATGAAGGCTTACAGAACAAAATAGTTTCTCATTTAACAGTTACTACACATGTTGCCCTATGACAACAGCTAACAATCTCACAACACATCAACAATATCCCTACTCAACGTTGGGTTCCCTATCACCAGCTTCCCTGTCCCCTTCTGCCTTCTGGCCCTTGTCACTGAACTACTGTACCTCATTAGTCCTATTTGGCCTTACAGGGCTGTCCACTCCCAGGCAGAACGGTAAACCTCGGAGATAACTTCACCACTGAGCTAAAACGGTGTCTGGGGGCCGTAGTCTCGGAGTTTCTCCAGTCTCCTTTAGGCCAGTAAATCTGGTCTTTTTTTTTTGTGAGTTAGAATTATGTTCTACATCCTTCTCCAGCTCTGTCCAGAACCCTCTGTTGTGATCCTGGTCAAAGCAGTCAATGGTGATAGCCGGGCACCATCTAGCTGTACTGGACTCAGTCCAGTGGAGGCCTGATTAGTCCTTTGGACTAATCTTTTCCTTATATCCTGTTCTCTTCATTCTCCCTTGCTCCTGAAGGGATGAGACCAGTGGAGTATCTTAGATGGCTGCTCACAGGCTTTTAAGACCCCAGACGCTACTCACCAAGGTAGAATGTAGAACATTGTCTTTATAAACTGTGTTACACCAATTGAGCTAGATGTTCCCAGAGACCATGGTCCCCACAGCCCTCCACCCAGCAATTCAGTCCCTCAGGGAGTTTGGATGTGTCTATGGGGCTTCCATGACCTTTCTTTGTACAAGGTGTGCTAGTTTCCCCTGTATTGTGTACTGTCTCACCCTTCACCCAAGATACCACTTATCTATTGCCTTAAATAGGCTTTTTTATTGTTAAACTTTTAAGAATTTTTGACATATTAATATGCACTGTGAATCCAAGACAGAAGGTATTATACTCAGCATTTCCAAAAAATATTTAACCATGGAATTCTCTTTAGAGGAAACATCTCATAGGACCAGCATTCCATAAAACCCACTTTGAGAAATGCTGGCAGAGTCCACTCTTTTAAATAATTTGTCAATTACCAAAAAAAAAAAGTTTTCATAACTAGAAGAACCAATTTCAAAGTTCATATGTAGTAACCAACATGCACAAAAAGAAAAAAAATTGAAAAAGTGTAGCTTTATATGATATTAAAATATACCATAAAGGTACAGTAATTAAAGTCTGGTAATGGATGTGAAAAGACAAACCAATCAATGGGGTACAACACAGAGTCAAAAAACAGATACCAGTATGCAATATTTTATAAAAGTAATATTCCAGTAAGTGGGGGGGGGGAGATTATCTCGTAAATGACATAACCAAAAAAACCAAACCCATTGCTGTCGAGTTGATTCCTACTCGTAACAACTCTTTATGACAGAGTAGAACTGCCCCGTAGAGTTTCCAAGATGCACCCGGTGGATTTGAACTGCCAATCTTTTGGTTAGCAAACATAGTAAATGACATAGGGACAACTAAACAGCGACCTAGAGAGAGAGATAAAAAAAGAAGAAGAAACAAAGTTGGATTCCAAATCCTCAAATTAATTTCAGATGGAATAAAGATCTAAGCATAAAAAATAACATCAAGAAGTATCCTGACAAAACAGGAAGTAATATGTTTTATAATCTCAAAGTGGGAAAAGCCTTT